AAAGTGGAATCAGCTAAAGAATTGCCGCCCGAAATAAGAAGAAACTGTCCTGCTAAAGAATCACAACACGTTTCAATTTGTCTGGAGTAGAGGGTGCTATCTTTTATGAGTGAGTTGATATCATGAGCGAATTATTTTGTAACGAGTCTTTGGATTATTTTCCCACATACACGGAACTTAAAGATCTTCGTTCGACTTTTATCACCAACTGCATTTTTAACAACTTTTTAACTCACACCTCCATCATGTTGAATATTGTGACAATCTACGCTATCCACAAAACTTCGGCAATCGCAAAAACTTTGAAAACTCTACTGCTGAGTCTTGCCTGCTCGGATGTTGCTGTTGGTTTGTTTAGCCAACCAATATACACTTTTTTTCTGGTCAAGTGGATTCAACTGGACAATATTAACTGTGATATTTACCAAGTGCTAAATATTTCAGCTCATTTATTCTCAATTGCTTCGTTCCTTGGTGTTGTGGCTGTAGGTGTAGACAGGTTCTTAGCTGTTCATCTTCATCTCAGATATCAAGAGCTTGTGACTCTCAGGCGTGTTGTTGTTGTGGTGATCGGCAAATGGTTGTGCAGTGCACTTGTTTCCTTGATGATATTTTGGGGCTTACTTAGTACTCAGCAACTTATTAATTTAGTTGGCGCAGCTTTGGGTTTCATTATCGCACTCGTGGTGTACATCAGGTTATATTTTACTGTCCGACGGCACAAAAATCAGATTCAATGTATGCAAATACAAGAAGTAACCCATTCTGATGAAATAAAGAACTTTATTGCTCTCATTAAATCCACAGTTAGCATATTCTACGTATATCTCCTGTTGTTAATTTGTTATTTGCCTTTTTTCATTTTCTCGGCTGTTATGCGAATGTATGGCTCGAGTATCGCTTTAAAACAATTTTTTCTTTACTCAATGACTCTCGTATTTTTTAATTCGTCTTTGAATCCTGTCATTTACTGCTGGAAGATGAGACACGTTCGACACGCTATCATGAACACACTTCGAAAGATGTCTAGGAAGAGCAATCGGCCATTACGGATAAACTACAATCGATCATCGAGTGTCGTCCATGTTGATAACTGATCCACTCTGTGCGTCTAACAAGGACTGTGCGCGGTTTGTTTACCACAAAGGAAACAGGGAGAAAGAACATTGTACATAAACTTAGTGATGTGACTCAGCAGCAGAATCATTGCGTATCCTGTCGAGTTTAAATACACAATACGTCAAATTCTCACAACTGGAACGAAAGAGGCCAATTAAACAGGAAGTACATGGCTCAAAATTTCGATAAGTCATGTTTTATTTAGCCATATATTGATCAAAGGAGAATTCCCTCGAAGTATCTTCAAAAACGCTGCTTTAACTCATGAAAAAGCGAGTTTTTATTGTCAATGTAATCATTTTTTTTCCATAGAAGGATTACCCTAAGAAGGAGTAAGATAAAGTCCGCGAAAACAATCGCTCGTACCTAAATGAGAAAAAACTTTTATGGGCATAGAGTTAGTAGCATCTGTTTGTGGTAATTTTAATGAATGGATCACGTTGCAAGCATACATCCTGCAATTTACCTCTTTTTACTTCGAGGGGTGGCATTTATTCAGCTAACATCATTGTGTCAAAGTGAACTATTTACAATAAAAAAAAAATTTACCGTTGTCGCTTTCGTTTGCACAAGTCTGGCGATTAACTAGGCTTGTTTGGAAAATAGTAAAACACAAACCAAAACAATAGCTTTTGAACAACTTATTGTGACCAATTGCAGCGTTTTACCTAACTTACTATTTCCCATGATATGGCATATAACTTCTATCTTAAATGAGTCAATTTTGTGTCAACAGCTCACTTCTCGCGTGACCATGCTGATCAAAATATAGTTCTTTCTTGGTTTATGATAATTTGCCGGCAGATTTAAGACATAATTCAAGTGGCTAAAAATAGCGTGTTGGAGTAGTATACGGTGCTCATATTAATAAACAGTCAACTCCTTAACTCCCTTATTAAAGTGTAATTAAAGAAAGTTTAAAGCAAGCAGATAATGAGAATGACAAAGAGGATCAATTTAGGGACACGGTATTGATAGTAAGAAGCTCAGGAATAAACAGCAAATAAATGTAAGGTATGATCATGAGTGAAGTAAATAAACTTCCAGCTTTTTCGTGAGAAGTTTAAATTTTAATGAAATGGTAAAGCGTCACATTTGGAGCGTCGCGTTTTTCCCTCAGGAAGGGAAGAAACCAGGAGCACGTATTTAAGAAGGAAAGGGAAATTATTGTTTATCATTGTCTATTGAGTGGATTGAAAACGAAAATGGATTGAGCGATATGCTTCAAAACTAAACAAAGAGCAAAAGCATTTCGTTTGCCTTTGGTTGCACTTTTGAAGTAAAAACTTAGTTAAAGCAGAATGCAGAAAACAGAGGTGGTTGTAAAATTATTAATTAGCCCGCAAATGTTTTCAGGTGATTTTAAATAATACGAGCTGACCGGGAATTTTATGAGCTTAAAATCAAACATGTTTTTACTGCTAATCCCCTTTCGCTTAGACGCAATAACAGATAGGTTTTTGAATTAGTTTAACAATTCTTTCCAATTTCCAGACAAGTTAATGGATCAGTTGTGTAAAATGTAGTCAAAAAATTAGTTTCGTATTAAAAGTTCTTAAAATAATTGTTTTGACAGATAATCGACCGCTCAAATTTCGGGCTTATCCATGATGATTATGTAATGATTTGAAGATGTCTTTAAAAATCTCGGAGATTATTTGTTACAGGGTCGATTTCTCCTGGCTTTAGCCTTTTAACTCCCAGGAATGATTTAAAACTAATTTCTCTCTAAAATATCCATACATCATCCAGCAAATAGGTCATGAGAATACTTTAACTTATCAGGTAGAAGTTGTTACCTTGATCTAACATCAAATTCTTGTAACTTACCTACAAGGAAGTGTGTAGCAGGTAGAGGGGAGAATTAACAATCAGATCTTGGGAGTTAAAAGGTTAAGGAAAAACGGAGGGGGGTTTAGCTGTCGTCAATAAAGTGTTGAGAGGGGACTACAGGTAATTGACTGCCAATTACTGTCAATTAGGAAGGGAGGGGCCATAGGAATCTTAGAGAACCTTCAGTATATGGGGGGCTGTGTAAACATTCTCATGAGTCGACCAAGTTGCTCTAACGCCCCCCCTCCCCCCACAGGAGATAAATAGTGACCAGTCTCTTAGGAGGATAAATGACAGATGACCTATTTTCAATGGCTTTCTCCTACGGGAACTGAGATTGTACGCATTTACTTCTAAAAGCAACAATTACTGCAAAAACCCATTCAGGAAAAGCGAGGTCAGTGATACCAAAAGTTCCATAACTTAGAATACATAACTTATTATCGGTTAAGATAATTAAACCAAACATTGTTTATTGTTCAGAATGTATTGTTGTCATCTTGAAGGCTTTGTAATGTTTTATTTATTTCCTAAGGAGGATTTTGGTTGTGTCAAGATAAAAGTAACATTATCCCCCATAAGACTGTAACATTCATATTACCCCCTCCACCCTTGTTGCCTTGTCAGCTTTCAAGCAAGTTTCTTTAGCCCCCCCCCCCCCCCCCCCCCCTCGAAACTCGAAACTCTCTTGGCGACAACTGATCCCCACTCTGTTGCCCCTGAAAACCAGGAGAAATCGAGGCTTTAGAAATATTCTCCGAAATTTTGAAAGGCATTTTCGAATTGCCATGTAATCATCATAGATATGCCCGAAATTTAGGCCGTCGATTATCTGTATAAACAAACTTTTGAACACTTTTATTTCGAGACTAATGTTTTCAATACATTTCATTTTATTAACCCATCAACTTGTCTAGAAATTGCAAAGAATTGTCATAATGATTCCAAAACCTATCTGTTATTTGCATATAAACAAAGGAAATAACAAGGAAAAACATACTGAATTTTAAGTTCTCAAAACTCCCTGTGTTATAAAGAACCACCTGCAAACATCTGCGGGGTAATCAATAACTCTAAAGCCACCTCTGCTTTCGTTTTCATATGCAGCATTCTCCTTCGACTAAGTTTTTTCCTCAAAATTGTTAAGGCAAAACTCATGCTCTTTGTAGCTTGTTTAATTTTCAAGGATATCGATCAATCCATTTTCGTTTTGAATCCACTCATTTGCCAATGATTAACATCGATTATTCTTCCCTCGTAAATACTAGCTCCTGTTTGTTTCTCTTCCTGAGGGCATTACGAGACGCCTTAAATGTGACGCTATATCGCTTTATCGTATGATCAATTAAAGTTTTTAACTTCTAATGAAAGAGCTGGAAGTTTATTCCCTTCGCTCCTGATCATAACTTATATTTATTTGTTGTCTAGCTCTGAGAATCTTACCATCAATACCATGTCTCCGAATTGATCATCTCTGTCATTCTTATTACCTAGCTGTTTGCTCGAGAATTTCTTCAAATTACACGTTAAGGATGGCCAAAGCGTTGACTGTTTATTAAAAGGAAGAGGTTCGTTTCCACTATTACAAAGTAATTTGGGAATTCTGCTTTTGAGGCAGAAGGATGGATGGCAAAACATTTCCTTCTGTTTTATTTGAAACTGGCATGTCACTTAGTTGTCAGTGCTAGTTTTAAGAAATTCGGCGAAACAGTTGGCAGTTATGGGCAAAATTTACAAGGGAAAAAGGAAACCTTTTCCGAGGCTTAAGTCTGCAACCACCGTTATTGGTTTTAAATTCTGATTTGAAACTAAGAACGACGGAAACCTTGATGTGAATAAAATCTTGTGTCGTATCCTACTTTTATTTACATCCATAATTACAATTTCTCTATCCATCGATGACAAAACCAGCTTTCTTGCTCAAATTAGCCTTTCCCTGTCACACTAAAGATTATTCGATTTATTGTGTACTTAAAATGGGAACTACGCGATTATTTGGCTGCCGGGTCATATCAATAAGTTTATGTATACTATAATATTGTTTCTCCCTATTTGATCCGAAATGGCTGATTGCTGTTCCAAGACATCCTCCGCAGTATGTCTATGATAGCGTGTCGAATGTGTTTCATCTTCCAGCAGTAAATGACAGGGTTCAAAGATGAATTCAGGTACACGAAGGTCAGTGAGTAAAGATAAAGTTTCTTTAATACGATACTCGGGCCGTAGATTTGAAGAACAGCCTTGCAAATTAGGTAGGGCAAATAACAAATTAAAAACACGAGATATACGTAGAATATGCCAACTGTGGATTTAATTAGGACAGTAAAGTTTTTTATCTCCTCAGACTGAGCTTCGTTTCGTATTTGCATGGACTGAATATGATTTTTGTGCCGTCGCATAGTTAGATATATCCTGATGTACACCACGAGTGTGATAATAAAACTGAAAGCAAAATTAATCATACCTACAACATCCAGAGTACCAAGAGGCTCCCACAATATCATCAAAGAAAGAAATGCATTATATACCCATATGACAATCACAACAATAACAACACGCCTGTGAGTCACAAGCTCTTGGTATCTGAGATGAAGATGAACAGCTAAGAACCTGTCTACACTTACAGCCACAACACCAAGGAACGAAGCACCTGAAAATAAAATAGTTGAAATCGTCCGCACTTGTTGAGTGTTACAGCCAGGATTGTCTAGTCGAAGCCAGTTGATCAAAAAGAAAGTGTATAATGGTTGACTAAACAAACCAACGGCAACATCCGAGCAGGCAAGACTTAGCAGCAGAGTTTTCAAATTGTTTGGCATTGTCGAAGTTTTGTGTAAGGCGTAGATTGTCACAATATTCAACATGAAGGCGGTGTAAGCAAGGAAAATGTTAAAGACGCAGTTGGTGATACAAGTCGAACGAAGATCTTCAAGTTCGGTGAATGTGGGCATAAATTGCGAAGACTGGTTACAATACAATTTGTTCATGATTTTCGCTAGGAGCCACTATTTCAGAGAAATATTTTAGCAGGCCAACTTCTTACAAGCCTTACTGAAGATAACAACGATAGTACCCTCCGTCATTCAACGTTGAAGTAAACAGTCCTTGGATCTCGGCAGATGGTTGCGGCCGGTTCTGAGATAGGAAGTTAAAAGAAAATAAATTAATTATCAGTTTTCCTTGATTACCAACATTCGCTTAACACGTGTAACAGTACGTTTGTACAGCTCGTTGGATTTCTTGTTCATGTTCTATAACTGTAAAACAAACGCTGAAAAAATTAGTGGCTTAATGATGGACTGATCATTGTTTATCGCAGGACGGGAGTTGAGGGTCGGAGGATTTTGGTTGTCAAGATAAAATTTTCCTGACTCCCCCATAAGCCTCTGTAATATTCTTATAATCCTTAGCTACTTTATTGGCAGTTCAATGGCAGCCAATTCTCTATTGTCCTTTGTAGAGTAGTCAGCTAGAGGTCTGCAGGTAGTGCCAGACCCCCGGCAGACCTCTCCCCGATTCGTCTCAAGCCTTCTCACGGGCAGAGATGGTATGCTCGTAGATAGTCTCGTACCCACCCCTTTCACGGTCGAGCGGTTTGAACCTACATTTCCCTTACAGATAAACGGTAAGATCTGAATACGAAATTATAGTAGTCCACAGGCTACTGAATTTGAGCGAAACCGTTAAGTTTTTGGCAGAAATTAAAACTGCAAATGAACGAAGGGGGCGCGTTTTGAAGGAAACTGTAGTACTTCGGTGGGGGTATTACGAGACAATTTGATTTTATCTGAGTGGATAATGTAAATTAAACACTGAGGAAAGTTTCTAAAACTGAAGTTTCGACCGTTTGCATTTCGTCGGAGTAAATGTCTCAAAAAGCATCACTTGGGCTATTCCGTGCTTTTGACGGTCCGCCTGCTCTTGTTTCGCGTTCTCATTCGCTAACTATGGTGTTACCCACTGTTCCGATGCCCGTGTGGATAAGACTGGTTTTGTTATTTCGACACGCATGTGGAGCCTGCTTTATTCAAGGTTTCCTCGAAAACATGATGCGCGTCGCGCATCATGTTTTCGAGGAAACCTTGGAGAACTCCGCGATATTCTTCATAAATGAGACCTGAAATGCGCTTTTTTATGTTTTATTAATATCCTAATAAACATAGCTGTCACTCTGGAAAAAATGAAAGCAATGAAAATGAGCTTAGTATTTTGGTTTTACTCATTGACTCTCACATTTCTTAATTCGTCTTTGAAACCTGCCATTTACTTCTGAAAGATGAGACACATTCGACACGCTATCATGGACATGCTGTGGAACATGTCTTGGGAAGAAGGCAGCCATCTTTCGTAACTTGCAAACCGTCTTCAAGTGTCGTTCCACGGGTGGACCACGCAATGCGTTCATGGTTAATTATTGTTGACATGAGACAAACAGAATATGTGAGGGTTAGGAATAAGACTCTGAAAATTGCCGGCATATCTAAGTCACATCTCGGTCTGAATATCTCAATAAAGTTCAATGAAATGTTAATCGACGCACTTGTGATATTTTTAGCCTTCATGGGCCGTTTGAGGCGTCTGCGTCCAGAAGTAATTTAGTAAAAAGACGCTTCAAACGGCCCATGAAGGCGAAAAAAAAATACTGCAAATGAGTTGATTAACATTTCATACTTCACATTTTATTTTGCATGTCACTAACAAGGACCTGTGCAATGACTGTATACTGAGATGCAATCCGAACCCAAAAAGTATTCTATTTATAACAGCGACAACACCTGTGGCTTAAATTCGACGTTTTAGCAATTAGGCCAAATATTGCTGCAGATGGTTCAGGTCTGTGCTAAGACGCGGAAATTTCAGATCTTTGTTAAAGGATGAGTTTTTCTTGATTAGCCATGTCGGCGTAGCTTAGACACGGGTTACTCTCGGGTTTTTGTGTTGTAAAAGTATGAAAATAGTATTAACATGTTTAACGAGTCTATTTAGAAAACAAACCTTGTTAAAAAATTGTTAAAAGTTTCTTTTGAGAGATACTTTTCGACTATAATAAATCATTCAGTACTTGTTTTAGCGGTGACTTAATTTCGCAGGACTTTAATTTCTCGATTCCGTCAAAACAAGAGGTTATAAATCGTCTACAATCTCTTGGCCAAAAGTATATATTAGAAGGAACTGAGTAAAGCGAAAATTGTCAAAATACTGATCAGCAGGAACAAAGAATTAATTAACAAGTATAAATAACTTGTCATGACGTTTTACAAGGAGTCAGATAGGAATATAATGGCACCTGCATGAAGCAGCACCGTATTAGCGGTCACCCTGTATTAGGAGGTCAGTTGTTAAAGTGCTGAAAATGGTACCACTTAGTTTGTGCAATTTTCACCTCTATCAAGCGGTCACCTATATCAACCCTTTGACCCCTAGGAGTGACTAGCTTCTAATTTCTCTTTACAACATCAACCCTGCATCCCACATTAAGGTGATGAGAAAAATAGAAAGCAAATTCTCCTTATCAGTGTCATTGGAAATGTATAGAGACCAGTGTGGAGAATATGCATACTGATGTTAGGGGTGTCAAGGGTTAGGCAGTAGCGGTCACCTTTTCCTGAGTCCCAACGGCTTGTTGTTACTTTTACATGTCTATCTTGAGATCCATGTTGATTCTGTTCTTTTATTTTTTTGTTGTTTTTTTCTCATCGAGATTCTATTTTGATTTTAAAGAGACGACGAAAACCTTGATGCACATAATATCATGTCTCCCAATTCCTTCTTCTTCGAGAACCTTCATAATAACAACATCTCACTAAAGTAAAACCGGCTTTACTATTCAATTTAATCTGTCCGTCTTTCCGACTGCAATTCCTTCATAGATTATTTCATTAAAATATTGAAGTGACCAATAATTTTGGCCATTGGGACATCATTGAGTCTAAATACAATTTCGTATCTCCCATCCCTGTTTACTCTAACGACAGCAAACGTCCAAACAAAGCGCTTGTTAGCCACACAGAAGATTTCAGCTATTGTTGTGGAAGACACTCGATCATAGATATGCCCGAAATTTAAGCCGTCGATTATCTGTACAAATAAACTTTTCAACACTTTTATTATGAGACTAATGCTTTCACTACATTTCACTTAATTGATCCATTAACTTGTCTAGAAATTGAAAAGGATTGTCAAATTGATGTCAAAACTTATCTGTTATTTGCATCTAAGCGCAAAGAGATAACAAGGAAGAACAAACTTAATTTCAAAACTCACGGTATTATCAAGAACCACCTGCAAACATGCGCGGGCTAATCAATAACTCTATAGCCACCTCTGTTATCGTTTTCATAGGCAGTTTCTGCTTCGACTAAGTTTTTACCACAAAAGTGTTGAGGCAAACTAGATGCTTTTCGTTGTTTGTGTAATTTTCAAGTATGTCGCTTAATCCATCTTCGTTATGAAGCCACTCATTAGCGAATGATTAACATCGATTCTTCTTCCCTCGTAAATACTAGCTCCTGTTTGTTTTTCTTCCTGACGGTATTACCAGACGCTCGCAATGCGACGCTATACCGTTTTATCGTAGGATCATTTAAATTTTTTAACTTCTAATGAAAGAGCTGGAAGTTTATTCCCTTCATTTATGATTATACCTTAGATTCATTTGTTGTTTAGTTCTGAGAATCTTACTATCAATACCATGTCCCCAAATTGCTTGAGAATTTCTTTAAATAACACATTCAAAGGAGTCAAGGCGTTGACTGTATATAATAGGAAGAAGTTCGTTTTCCATTACTAAGGAGTAATTTAGGAATTTTGCTTTTGAGGCAGAAGGATGGATGGCACGGGTTTCCTTCTATTTTATTTGAAGCTGGCATCTCATTTAGTTGTCAGTGCTAGTTTTAAGGGATTCGGCGAAACAGTTGGCAGTCATGGGCAAAATTTACAAGCGAAAGAAGAGACTTTTCCGAAGCTCAAGAGCGCAACCACCGTTACTGGTTTTTAATTCTGATCTGAAATTAAGAGCGACGGAAACCTTAATATGAATAAAAGCATGTGTCCTATTTTACTTTTATTTGCATCCATAATTACAATTTCATGATCGATCGATGACAAAGCCAGCTTTCTAGCTCAAAGTAGCCTCTGCCCTTCCAGTTGTGATTATTCGATATATTGTGTACTTAAAATTGGAACTATTAAAATTGGCTGCCGGGCCATATCACTAAGTTTATGTACAATCTTGTTTGTTCCTATTTCACTTTGTCCTAAAGAATTACTGTGTATAGTCTTTGTAAGCCACACAGAGGAGATCAGTTATCAATATGGACGACACTCGATGACCGATTGTAGTTTACCCGAAATGGCCGATTGCTGTTCCAAGACATCTTTCGAAGTATGTCCATGATAGCGTGTCGAACGTGTCTCATCTTCCAGCAGTAAATGACAGGGTTCAAAGATGAATTTAGATACATGAGGGTCAATGGAATAACAGCCATGCAAATGAGATAGGGCAAATAACAAATCAAAAACACGAGATATACGTAGAATATGCCAACTGTGGATTTAATGAGAACAGTTAAGTTTTTTATCTCCTCAGACTGAGCTTCGTCTCGTATTTGCATGGACTGAATGTGATTCTTGTGCCGTCGTACAGTTTGATATGTCCTGATGTACACCACAAATGTGATAAGAAAACCGAAAGCAGCAATGATTGTACTTATAAGTTCCCGAGTACTAAGAAGCCCCCAAAATATCATCAAAGAAATGAACATGGACTACAAACAAACGTAGAAACGAAAGAAGCAATTTAATTCTCTTTACATTCTTTGTATAATATTAAGCCTTGCTACAGCTACAAAAAATAGGCAACATCAACTACACAGGTACACGAAATTACGACGGCGGTAATGTTTCCGCGCGGGGTTCTGGTGGCGGTTCTGCTTTGGTATTCGCGACTTCCTTAGCGCGTTTCCCTGTTTCAATGGGAAAATTGACGCCACTTTGTCTCGAGCCTTCTCCAACAGCTCCATGGTTTCGCCCACAGTGTTTTTGATTGATTTTAAACTCTCCAGGAGTTCTTCATTCGCATTAGGACTAAATTTATGGCCAGATTAAATATCCCGTCCGTT